AAGAAAGAAAGATCTCTTATCCTTTGAGACGACATGGAGGGACCTGGAAAGTATTATCCTAAGTGAAAGAAGCCAAGCAGAAAAAGACAAATACCACATGATCTCACTTATATACGGAATATAATGAACATAACAGTCTGAGGAATACAGTAGACCCAGACACATGGAAGTAGGGCACAGACTGACATCCCTCAGAAGAGGGGATGGGGGGTGGGGGGGTGGGAAGAGATAAACCACAGAACTTATATGCATGTATGTATGACCAATGGACATGGACAACTAAGCCGGGGACAGGGTGGAGGGGGGGTGGGGTGGGGGTGCCAATGGGGTAAAAAGGTAAAATATCTGTAACAAAAAAATAAATAAAAATTCATAAAATAAAATAAAAAAACAAAAACAAAAGATTTTAAGAAAATACTATGAACAACCATATTCCAACAAATTAGACAATGTGGGTGAAATGGATAAATTCCTAGGAAATATCATCTTCTAAAACTGAATAGACTGATTATAACTAATGAAACTGAAGCAGTAATAAAAAATTTCCCAGCAAACAAACTCCTGAACCAGATGGCTTCACAGATGAATTTTACCAAACATTCAAAGAACTAACACCTATTCTTTTCAAACTATTCCAAAAAATTCAAAAGAAGGGAAGACTTTCAAGCTCTTTTTATGAGGCCAGTAGTATCCCAATTCCCAAACCAGATAAAGATATTACAAAAAAGAAAGTTATAGGTTAATATCCCTGATAAACATAGACACTAACATCCTCAACAAAATATTAGCAAACCAGATCCAGCAATATATTAATATGAACAAGTGGGCTTTATTCTAGGAATGCAAGGTTAGTACAATATTCTCAGATCAATAAACATGATACATCATATAAACAAAAGGAAGAATAAAAATTACATGATCATAACAATAGATGCAGAAAAAGCATTTGACAAAATCCAGCAGTCATTTATGACAAAAACTCTCAGCAAAGTGGGAAAAGAGGGATCATACATCAACATAACAATGGCCATATATGACAAACCCACAGCTAACATTATACTAAACATCAAAAGCTAAAAGCATTTCCCTTAAAATAAAAAACAAGACAAGGATGTCCACTTTTACCACTCTTATTCAACATAGTAAAAGTCCTAGCCACAGCATTCAGAGAAGAAGAAATAAAAGACATCCAAATTGGAAAGAAGGAAGTAAAATTATCACTATTTACAGATGACATGATATTGTACACAGAAAACCCTAAATACTGTGCAAAAAAACTACTGGATCTAATAAATGAATTCAGCAAAGTAATAGGATACAAAATTAATATCTAGAAATCAGTGGCATTTCTATTCACCTACAATGAAATGTCAGAAAGAGAAATCAAGAAAACAATTCCATTTCCCATTGCAACAACAACAAAAAATATCAGGTACCTAGGAATAAATTTAACCAAGGAGGTAAAAGACCTATATTCAGAAAATTATAGGATACTGTAGAAAGAAATTGAGGAAGATACAAATAAGTGAAAGTATATACCATGTTCATGGATTAGAAGAATGAATGTCATTAAAAAGTGTATACCACCCAAATCTATCTATATATTCAATGCAATTCATATTAAAATACCAATGGCATATTTCACATATATAGTACAAATAATTCAAGAATTGATGGGGCATCAAAAAAGACCCCCAAATAGCCTCAGCAATCTTGAGAAAGATTAACAAACTTGGAGGTATCACAATATCTGATATCACACTATCCTACAAGACCATTGTAATCAAAACAGTCTAGCACTGGCACAAGAACGGGCATATAGATCAGTGTAACAGAGCAGAGAGCCCAGAAGTAAGCCTACACTGTTATGGTCAATTAATTTTTGACAAAGGAGGCCAGAGCATACAATGGAGTCAATATAGTAAATGGTGTTGGGAAAACTGAACAGGTACATGCAAACAAACAAAACAAAACAAAAAAGAAACTAGACCACCAACTTACACCATAACAGGAATAAACTGAAAATGGATAAAAGATTTAAATATAAGTTGCAAACCATAAATATAATAGAAGAAAACCTAGACAGTAATATCTCAGATATCTCTTGTAGCAATTTTTTTTGCTGCTATATCTCCTTGGGCAAGAGAAAAAAAGGAAAAAAAATAAACAAATGGGACTATATGAAACTAAAAAGCTACTGCACAGCAAAATAAACCATCAACAAAATGAAAAGGCAACCCACTGCATGGGAAAACATATTTGCTAATGATACATTTGATAAGGGGTTCATTTCCAAAATATATAAGAAGATATACAGGTGGATTGTAAGCATATAGAAAGATGATCCTCATCTTCAGAATGGCCAAAATATAGGACAAAGACAACACAGAGTGCTGGCGAGGATATGGAGCAGCAGGAACTCTCAGTCATTGTTCACTGGAATGCAGATGGCACATCCACTTTGGAAGACATTTTGACAGTTTGTTATAAAACTAAACATAATGTTACCATGGGATCCAGCAATTATGCTCTTCCATATTTACCCCAAAGGAATTGAAATCTTACATCCCTATAAAATCCTGCAAATTGTTGTTCAGAGCAGTTTTACTCATAATTACCATGCCTTGGAAGCTACCAAAGTGTCTTACAGTGGCTGAATCAATAATAAACTGTAGTACATCCAGACAATGGAATTTTATCCAATGCAAAAAAGAAATGAGCAAGTAAGGCATGAGGAGACATGTAGGAAACTTAAATATAGATTACTAAGTGAAAGTAGGCAACCCGAAAGGCTATACACTGTATGATTCCAACCAGATGACATTCTGTAAAGGCAAAATTATGAAGACCATAAAAAGATCAGTGGTTAACGGATGAAAAAGGAGGGGATAAATGAATAGGCAGAGTACAGAGTATTTTAGGGAAATGGAAATACCCTATATGATATTATGACAATGGATATATGACATTATACATTTGTTCAAATACATAGAATGTATAGCGCCAAGTGAACCCTAATAAACTTTGGGTAATAATTATGTCAATGCAGGTTCATTGTTGGCAACAAATGTACCATTCTGGTGAATGATGTTGATAATGCGGGAACTTATGTGTGTGGGGGACAGGGAGTATATAGTTAATATCTATATGGTCTTCTCAATTTTCTTGTAAACTGCTCTAGAAAAATAAAGTCTTTGTTCGAAAGACTATCCATTTTGTGTTAGGATGTAGGATACAATTTGTAAGAAAAGATTAAAAATCAGGGAGATAATTTATGAAAGTAGTGAGTTTAGCCTGAGACAACAGGATGAACTCAGGAAGGAAGAGATAGTAACAGAAGAAAGATTAAAATTTTAGAACGTAAAAATGAGAACGTTGATTTTATTTGGTAAATAACTTAATGTAGTAGTTATGCGACTAAAAGTATAGAAGTATTATTTGCATATAAACTACAATAAAAATATGAACAAATTTTGAATTTGAATCATGTAAGTTCCTTATAACTTAAGGAATCTTTGGTAGAATGCCCACACAAAGCAATAATTGTATCAATGAAGAATTTTTACATTTCTTTTGTTGTTGTTATTCTATTGTTACGTAGATACAGATTTTTTGTAGCATTCTTTCACTAAAAATTAATAATGTGGCTAAGTAAATTACTTTGATTAAGTGAGCCTAATATTTGCTAGAATATTTTTGTAGTTTATTTTCTTTGGTTAGGACACTGAATAAAAAGTGGCAAACAATATCCTTTATACTTTGAGTAGAGCTTCACTGATTAAATAATGTCTTTAAAGGCAAAACCAGACTGTAAACTCAATTCAATTTCAAACTCTGTGAAAATGCATCACTCTGTTCTTTTCTATGTCAGACGACTGACCCAGCAGTGGCCAGATAAAAGGGCTTAGCATATGAGTCACTTAGACCACATCTGTGAATCTCAGATGCACACTCTGCATGCATCATAAGCTTTTCCCAAAGTAGAAAATGAAATACACAGAGCCAATTTTTGCTGCTGAAAAATTCAGTGCTTTGCCAGATGATTTTATTTTGACTTGTATATATTATAGTACATTTGTGGAAGAAAAGGCAAGCTTATTTTTTAGAGCTGTTTCCACATTCAATGTGCTTTGAATATTTTCTGACCTAGGTGTAGGCAAATGTGATGGGATGTTTAGCCTCCTTCCCTTCATTTTCTCTCTTAAAAGAAAGCTTCAGAACCATTACAATGTACTTACAAAGCATGTGACTATTGATTCTAGTTATTTAATCTTTGCTGAAGAAATTCAGTGGCATATAAGAAAAAAAAAAAATCAGAGTGCAGAATTCTCTTTTTAATGCATTAGAGTGGTAAAACTGAGTTTGGTTATACCCGGTGTTGATGAGAGTGTGGATAAACAGGCACTCTCATACAGCTGTGATAGAAATGTAAATTGTTTCAACCTTTTTAGATACTAATTTAGAAGTCTCTAACAAATTTTAAAGTGCATATAAAACTTGGCACAGAAAATCTACTGCTAGGAATTTATACAAGTATTCAAAGAGACCAGGCTGTTTATGGCAGTATTGTTGGTATTAGCAAAACAATGAAACCAACCTAAATGTTCACTTGTAGGAGACTGGGTAAGTCATTCTAACTTTTGTAGAAGTGGGTTAATGAAATAGTAGCTATGTGCTAATAAGGATAGGTGGCCATGATGGATAATACACGTATACATATGTATTGCTGGCATTCGGATCAGTTGTCCGAATATGACACCTTGGCATATTGAATACTACAAGCTGAAGGACTTTGAGAAAATATTAGACAGAGGAAGTTCACTCTGACCTCTCCTCCATCACCCTTTTTCCCTGAAACAGCCCAATACCCCTCATATGAGATGTGACTTCCCTAGATGCAGTGGAAAGAAGCATCTTTATCTCTGAAGAGGAGATGCTGAGAAGATTCTTAATTACCAGGCCTTGTTAAGTTTTCTCCAGTATACTACACTTACCTCATACTCCTTAACCTGTCAGATTCCTCCACATTGTGTACTCTTCATCAAACCTAGCAGAAAATACTCTGGTCTAATTGTTTCTTTGGATCTTCATTTTTCTTATGAAGGCTTTATCATGTCACATAAAAATTATATTAAATAAATTAGTATATTTTACTCTTGTTAATTGGTTTTTGTCAGTTTAATTTAGGATGAAACAATGTATCAAATCACTATTAATAAGTCATTTAATTTAAAAGGGAAGGACAGTGGCTACTTTATAAAAGATACGTTGAACTGATTTATATGGTAAATAAAATCTAGCTTTAAAGTTACAGTCATTACAAGAGACATTATTCTGTAATTGATGCAATATAGAAAACCAAATCTTGAGGAGAAATTTGGATCTCTGGCTATGAGGAATTGTTCTTAATTTCATCTTTAGAATGATGGACTGATCAGTTTAAGTGATTTAATTAGTTTTCAGTCACAAGTCAGTCTTGAGTGACTTAGGGTTTCAGATTTCCCTAGGTCATAACTGCTGCTGGTTAGGTGCATCCACAAGGAACCAAGTGGATCACTTTCTGGAACAAATAATGGTTAATTCTTCTTTTGTTTTATGCTTATCAACTACTATGTTTATGTCAAACAAAAAATAATGATTTACTGAAAACAGGCATAGGGACCGGTGGGTTTGCGTCCTTCAGCTTATACAAACAATCAAAAAGCCAAAAAATAAAAAAACAAATTGAGATTTCTCACCTTGATCTTGTGAATAGGAAGTGACTCACAATGCCCTTTTTATCTGTGGCAAAGTGGAAGTCCTCCTTCCTTCCTTGGTTTGTTGAAGAAACTTTCTGAAACAGTTTTCAGGGTGTGTGTCCCTTTCTGCCACCTCTATCATTTCACTCCACCATCTCTACCAGATACCAGCAGAAAGTTTCTGCTTTGGAGTAAAAGGGAAACTCATTATCACCTGAAGTAAATGGAAGCTGGTCCTCCTTAGGTGCTCAACAGATACATCACTGCCGAGCTTGTAGGTGTTGATGCTGGCAAATTTACTACTGAGCTACCCAGGTGTCTCGGAGATAGTTATCATGATAGGTATTTAAAGGCAATAAAACAATAATTTCATTTACTGTCTTAAAAACCAATATTTTTACATATAGGATACCCTAATTATTGAAATATATGATATTATTATTGTTTTGTAGAAATTTATATAAATGACCTCTGTCACTATTTAATTTATAGTGTAGGTTTATTTTGTTTATTCTTTATTATTTGAGTATTATAAAAAACAAAATATCTATTTTATGCAGAAATAAGTATATCGCCCTGACCGGTTTGGCTCAGCGGTTAGAGCATTGGCCTGTGGTCCAGAGAGACCCGGGTTCGGTTCCTGCTAAGGGCACATACCTCAGTTGCAGTTTGTCCCCGGCCCTGGTTGGTCGTGCGGGTGGCAGCCACTCGATGTGTACCTTCCACGTCCGTCGATGTTTTTCTCTCTCTCTCTTCCCCTCTCTCCCTCCCACTCTATCTGAACAAAAAAATGGAAAAATGTCCTCGGGTGAGGATAAAAAAGAAAAAAAGAAGTATATCTTTTTTCCAGCTCCATTAAGGAATAATTGACAAAAAAAAATTGTATTTATTTAAGATGATGTGATGTTTTGATATGTGGATACACAATCAAGCTAATTAACATGACCACCTCACATGGTTACCATTTTTGTGTGTGCAGTGAGAACACCTGAGATCGGCTCTGTCAGCAACCATCAAGTATACAGCACATTATTATTAACTACAGTCAGAGTGCTGTGTTTACATCAGGTCTCTAGAACTGATTCATCTTATAGCTGAAAGTTTGCACCCTTTGATCAATGTCACTGTTTTCCTCACCTTCTCCCCACCAAGCCCCTGGTAGCTACTGTTCTATTTTCTATTACTATGAGTTCAACTTTTTTATATTTCCCATACAAGTGAGATCATGCAGTATTTGTCTTTCTGTGTTTGGCTAGAAATAAATATATCTTATTGTTCTAGTTAGAATGTTGATCATATTTTCTATCTATTTGCCTTTGAAATAAATTTGGCTTTAAAAAGTTAATGTTGGCCCAGGATCTTTTGATCTTTATACAGACACATACTTGGTGTTTGGGACATGATTTTATGAGTACATTTTGCAGCTGGAGACAAATCAAGCTTCTGTTCATAGATAGGTGGGGTATCCCATAGCTATAACAATTTACATAAAAACTCCATAACCGTCCCAAAAATTTCTTAATATGGTGGTGATGAAACATTTAAGCTATAGTGATATTCAAGCATCATTGGGATATATAAAAAAAATAAATAATTTTGGTCAGTACACATCAAGAATAAAGAATAAAATGTCATGATTTCTTAAATATATTCCTTAAAATAAGAACTGAGAGGTGAAGTAAGTCAAGCCTCATAAGATTTTATAGCTTTTGATCAAAGGCTTTGGACATAAAACATGATAATTATAGTCAGTGTATTAAATGGAGTTCTGATCATGACAATATGAACATTTTCCAAGACACTTTTATATTTGGCATTATCAGACAAATTACTACAAATGATATAAATGTGGTTATGGCCAAAGGATGTGGTGGATTGCCCAAAATTTTGAATGATTGTTGAGACGCATCCAAAAGGGTGCCTTATCAACTAATAAGAGAATTCCCCAAGCGGAAGGTAAGAGTAGGCTAATAAAATGCAAATCTCTACCCTGCAGCTGTGCTAGTTTCCCATAATAATGAAGACACACAGAGTGCATATATTTGGTCAGAAAAATGTGCCTGCTCCTGATGATGTTGTTGTTTAGAGACAACCAAAAAATTGTGGTGCTATGTTTTGAGACCAGACCTAATTGGATCCAGAAGCTCTAAAACACCAAACTATATTTTATCATTCAAACTAGTGAGAACAAAATAGGATAAAGGTAATTTTAAGTGTTAGCTTGATCTCAGAGACCAAAACACCATTAGAAGAGGCACACAAGAGAGCAGCTTACTATATTATAGTTCTGCCTCTGAATAAGTGAAACTTTTTTGAGAATGTTAACCCCTTTAGCAAATATTTCCTGAATACCTACTACATACCTGGTTCTATACTTTCTTCATTTTATTTTTCCATCACCATTTATCCCCTCTGTGGGCTCTTCCACCCCACCCCCCACCCCCCGCCCCGTCACCACACTGTTGTCCATGTCCTTGAGTTCTCTCTCTCTCTTTTTGCTCAAATGCCTCCACACTCCCCTCAACACTCCCCCCCCACACACACACCAGGGCTGTCTGCCTACTCTCTATCTATGAGTCTATCTCTAGTTTGCTTGGTAGTTCAGCTGTGGTACACTTATACAATCGAATACTACTCTGCCATTAAAAAGGAAGAAAAATTTACCCTTTGTCACAGCATGGATGGACCTGGAGGACATTATGCTCAGTGACATAAGCCAGTCAAAGAAAGACAAGTACCACATGATTTCACTCATATATTGAATTTAATGAACAAAGTGTTGTAGTTTCTTGGTAGATAATATAATAAACATGAAAAAAGATGGCATTATATCATAGTACATTTTTAAAGTTTGGATGTGCTTTTTTTCAAACATATACTGTGTTTCTATTTTTTATTTTTTATCCTCACTTGAGGACATTTTTTCATTTTTTGTTCAGATAGAGTGGGTGGGAGAGAGAGGAAGAGAGAGAGAGAGAAACATTGATGGGAAAGGGACGCATCGAGTGGCTGCCTCCCTCACAACCCAACCAGGGCCAGGGACAAACTGCAACCGAGGTACGTGCCCTTAGAGGGAACTGAACCCAGGACTCTGTGTTCTGCAGGCTGACGCTCTAACCACTGAGAAAACCGGCCAGGGTCAAACACATATTGTTTTAAAAATTCCCTGGATAAGTCAGAAACCGCTTTCTCTGCCCATTCAAAATCACAGAGAGTGTGAACATCTATGAATCCAGATTTTTGATGATTCCTGTTATTTCTAGGGTTCTTTGCTTTATAACCATTTTCTTGCCACCCCTATCTACACTTCCAGAGGGGAAGTCAGCAGTTATGATACAGAATGGGCTGGAATCATGATATGCTCGGTTTGAGAATAAAGCATAATGATAGTAATTGATAGTAGCATGTATCATGTATCATTTATGGAGCACTTATTCTGTATTAGCAGTATGTACATTATCTTACTAAACTTGAAAACAACAGGGTAGAATAGGTATTATTAGCCCCACTTTGCTCATTAAGATAGAGATTAAGAATGCTAAAATAACTAGCCCGAACTACTCATAAAGCAAAGACAGTATTCAGACACAAGTTGTGAGAGCAACATTCCTATCTCTGGAATACACTCGAAGATGTAATATATCTTTTAGAAGTTACGATGGGAAGTCTTGGAAATACTGCACCTAGTAGTGAGAGATTGGAAGGCAGTGGTGAACCATTTGGTCAGTCTTAGATTTTGCTGCATAATGACTCACTGGTCATTAAAAATGACTGTCTGACAAATAATCTCACCTAGGCAATTATATCTGATTTGCTCATCTTGTTTTTCTCCTTTTATTTCACCCCAACTTCACCAAGCACCTATTCTTGGTTTTATCTCTTATTTCTAGCTCTGAATTTATGATTGAAATTTGATACATCCTTGATCTTGACCCTTAAAGCTTTACAAGTTATGGTTTATATTCTCCAGGTGAATTCAAGTAAGTGGCTGCCTGAGTGAAATGAACCCCAGGATTCTATTTCCAAAGTGAGTAGTTTTCCTGTTCAATGAAAATGGGGCCAGGGAAAAATGTAGAAAGTCTGTACTATAAATGCATTTAAAATGTTCAAAACATTTCCTGCTGGATAATAGAACCATCATGCAGCTCATGGCCCACCCCATGCCACAAGGTGGAACAAAGTAGATATATAATGGATACCAATCGACTTTGAACAAAACAGGGTTTTTTTTTCAGACTCTGTATTCACTAAGCACCATGTTACATTTCTACTGTCAATCATGTTATACAGAAATATGAAAACGGGATTCCTAAAAGAAATCAAGACAATATTTATATCAAACCATCTGTCTTAAATATCTACCTTAATCCTATTTTTATTTTCCATTCTTTCTTCCTCAAAGAACATTTACTGGCAAATTATGTAGTATTAGCATTTTCTGCTGGAGAGTTTTATGCCTGTTTAGATTAGTCACTTTGGGCACAGCCATTGTAAAATTCTGGTGAGGGAACTACTCTGGTGAGGAAAATGTCTTTGTATTGTTGGTGATAATATTATCACCTAAAGTGAATCATCTTTTGAAGGAAACTTTTGGAGCCCTTGAAAGAACACAGTGACTGGTGATAGGATCCAGCCCCTCAGGCAGTCTAATTTGGAAGTATATTGTACACCAGACACTTAGTAAGATTCTTTCCAAAAGTCCTGATAATGCCCTGTCCCCTATTGTCAGTAGAGGGCAATGGAAAGGGCACTGGGCTAGAAGTCCAAAAAGATGAATTTAAAACAGCTATTTCTGCAGTGTTACTTTGGACAAATGATCTCACCTCACTGAGATTTGGCTTACATTAGAAATTGAAATTATCATTTTCACCTCTGAAATTTAAAAAAATGTGATATAGGATGTTTCTTTTATATACTTATCTTTTCATCATTTTAACTTGTAACTTATTAATCAGCTTAACTTTTCCTGCAGGAATGAAACATTTTATTAGGTTTTATCATACTTCCACTTACCGTTCCGTCTCCTCAAGTTACTGTTTTTTAACTACTTAAACGTTCCATTTATTTCTGAGCAATTTCATTCAATATGTCTGGAGTTTGGAATATTTTACTGTATAATATTTGGTATGATTTGGAATGGTAGAGATGGATACATCAGTTGGGCATTTAATTAATTAATTA